TACAACACAGTGGATCAGCTATATCCCCTCCATCTTGGACCTCCCACCCCACCCCCCATCACATTCCTCTTGATCATCGCAGAACACCGAGCTGAGCTCCTTTTACTGCACAGCACCTTCCCACTAGCTATCTGCTTTACACATGGTAGTATATATATGTCACTGCTACTCTTTTAAGTTGTCCCACCCTCCCTTTCCCCTGCTGTTCTACAAGTTCATTCTTTATGTCTGAGTCTCTGTTCCTGCCCTGTAGATAGATTTTCAGTACCATTATTCCAGACTCCATACATATGCATTAATATATGATACTTATTTTTCTCTTTCTGACTTCACTTGGTATGACAAATTCTAGGTTCATCCACATCACTACAAATGATTCCATTCCTTTTTATGGGTGAGCAATATTCCCTTGTATATAGGTACCACATCTTCTTTATCCGTGCCTCTATTGGTGGACATTTAGGTTGCTTCCATGTCCTGGCTATTGTAAACAGTGCTGCAGTGGACATTGGGGAACATGTGCCTTTTTGAATTATGATTTTCTCAGGATATATGTCTAGGAGAGGTATTGCTGAATCATATGGTAGCTCTATTTTTAGTTTTCTAAGAAACCTCCACGCTGTTCTCCATAGCAGCTGTACCAATTTACTTTTTCACCAGCGGTGCAAGAGGGTTCCCTTTTCTCCACACCCTAAGACTTGTATTGTGCCACTCGGTTTCTCTTTACCATATGCCCGCTTCTAGAGCACAGTTCTTCACTGTGTTCATGGAAGCTCTTCCCTGCAGAAAGGAGAGCAAAACTGTACTAGATGCTGCTCTTTGTATTGAGAATCGTGAAAAGGTCATCAGCAGGATTTTACTCTGGGAGGTGACTTGAAAGGTGTCCTCATTGGAACCAATGAAATAACAAAAGTATAAATGAAGAAAAGCTGCAGCATTAATAACAACAGTCTGGGTAAACAATGAGGAATACGATCAATGGACCAGCATTTTTGAGGGATCTCTGAGAAGTAGAGAAGTAGCTGAAGCTCCAGTAGTTTAGTCACCTGATGGGAAGAGCTGACTCATTGGAAAAGACCCTGAGGCTGGGAAAGATTGAGGGCAGGAGGGGGCGACAGAGGATGAGATGGTTGTGTAACATCACCGACTCAATGGATATGAATTTGAGCAAACTCTGGGAGATAGTGAAGGACAGAGGAGCATGGTGTGCTGCAGTCCTGGGGGTTGCAAAGAGTTGGACACGACTTAACAAGTGAACAACAACAACAACTGAGATGTAGTTAGTAGATAGGGGTAGTTCTATAGAGAGAAAAGCCTTGCTGAAACCATTTGTAGAAAATGTGCAGAAGATACCTGCAAAGTTAGGGGTGGACAGCTTAAGGCAGCTTCGAGGACTGGAAGGAGCTGAGGGCTTGGGGGGAATTCATGCGCTCGTCCTCACTGAGATGTGACGCCGAGGGGACAGCCATGCTGCTTTCTCACTGTGGCAGTACTGTGGGCACTGGGGCCAGAGAAACTGGGCTGGACTTGAGATGGCCACTGCGTATCCTGACCCAGAAGAGACACCACCTCACACGCCTTCTGGCAGTGTGTCCTGTCTGCCAAAGCTGCTGAGGGCAGGCCTGGTAAGCGCTCCCATGGGGATACAGAAGTTCTCCAGTGGAGATAGAAGTAGACTATACAGATCACACAGCCAGTGTTTGGAGACTTACTTAGCATCTTCAACAGGCAGAAAAACTAGTCTCTGAAGGAAAAGAAAACATTAGATCCACATGTTTTTCAGAAAGATACAGGAGAGAATTCTGTTAATAAAAACATACTGGACACTAGAAATGTAAAAGTTACTCATTGAAGTGAAACAATGGACAAATTGACAGAACTGAAAAGCAAATTAGAAATCTGGAGGAGTAAGCTGAAGAGTCACAAAAGAAAGGGATGAAGAGAGAGAAGTTAGGAGCTCCTAAAACTGTTGCTTTGTGGTTTGATAGCACTTCCCTAGTGGCTCAGATGGTAAAGCATCTGCCTACGATGCGGGAGACCCAGCTTCAATCTCTGGGATGGGAAGATCCCCTGGCGAAGGAAATGGCAACCCACTCCAGTACTCTTGCCTGGAGAATCCCATAGACGGAGAAACCTGGTAGGCTGTAGTCCATTGGGTTACCAAGAGTCGGACACGACTGAGCAACTTCACTTTCATAGTCGCTTAATTGGAGCCTCTTTTTTCTTCTTTTTTGGAGCAAATATTTGAAAGCTAAACTGAATGCCCATCACAGGGGAATGTTTAAATATGGTACACCTTTACTATGAAGTGGGGCATCCCTTATAGCTCAGTGGTAAAGAATCTGCCTGCAATGCAGGAGATTCGAGTTTGGTCCCTGGATCGGGAAGATCCCCAGGATAAAGAAATGGCAACCCACTCCAGTATTCTTGCCTGGAGAATTCCCCATGGACAGAGGAGCCTGGTGGGCTACAGTCCATGGGGTTGCAAGGAGTTGGACACAACTTAGTCGTTAAACAGCAATGACATTGCTGTGGTTAACCATTAAAAAAGAATGAAATAGATCAGTATGGGTTATTATGGGAAGAGTGTCAAGATAGGTAATTAGGTGAAAAATACAAGATACAGGGCAATATAAGCAATTTGGTTCCTTAAGATTTTCAAAAGGAGATTAAAACAAACATAGATAAATGTGATCATTTGAGAGGTTTTCCAGAAAACTGTTGGTAATGATTGTCCTTAAGAAAAAGGGTGGAGATTTGGCATGAGGGTGATAAGGGAGGCCTTTTTTCTCCTCCTTTTTTTGATCTGTGCCTCTCCATGCTGGATACTGGATCTTAGTTCCTCAACCAGGGATTGAACTTGCACCCCTGCAGTAGAATCTTGGAGTCCTCTAACTGCGTTACCTCCAGGGAAGCACCAGGCTTTTATTTGTCATTTTTGTGTCTTTCTGTACTGTTCAAATATTCTGTGTGGATGGAGTACTTTTATTTTAAAAACTGTTCAGTTCAGTCGCTCATTCATGTCTGACTCCTTGTGACCCCAAGAACTGCAGCACGCCAGGCCTCCCTGTCCATCACCAACTCCCGGAGTCCACCCAAACCCATGTTTATTGAGTCGATGATAACCATCCAACCATCTCATCCTCTGTCGTCCCCTTCTCTTGCCCTCAATCTTTCCCAGCATCAGGGTCTTTTCAAATGAGTCAGCTCTCCTCATCAGGTGGCCAAAGTATTGGAGTTTCAGCTTCAACATCAATCCTTCCAATGAACACCCAGGACTGATCTCCTTTAGATTGGACTGGTTGGATCTCCTTGCAGTCCAAGGGACTCTCAAGAGTCTTCTCCAACACCACAGTTCGAAAGCATCAATTCTTCTGCACTCAGCTTTCTTTATAGTCCAACTCTCACATCCATACATGACGACTGGAAAAACCATAGCCTTGACTAGACGGACCTTTGTTGACAAAGTAATGTCTCTGCTTTTTAATATGCTGTCTAGGTTGGCCATAACTTTCCTTCCAAGGAGTAAGTGTCTTTTAATTTCATGGCTGCAATCACCATCTGCAGTGATTTTGGAGCCCAGAAAAATAAAGTCAGCCACTGTTTCCCCACCTATTTGCCATGAAGTGATGGGACCGGATGCCATGATCTTAGTTTTCTGAATGTTGAGTTTTAAGCCAACTTTTTCACTCTCCTCTTTCACTTTCATCAAGAAGCTCTTTAGTTCTTCTTCACTTTCTGTCATAAGGATGCTGTCATCTGCATATCTGAGGTTATTGATATTTCTCCTGGCAATCTTGATTCCAGCTTGTGCTTCCTCCAGACCACTGTAGGTGTACCTAAACAAGTCTCTTTTATGGTATCTACTCCTATCTTATTTTTATTAAGTTCAGTTTATTTTGCTAGTAGTCATCCTTGTGTCCTTTTCAAGCAGTAGCAGACATAGCTTATCCTTTTCAGAAAACATTTTATTTTTTTAAAGTTTTTTTAATGTGGACCATTTTTAGTCTTTATTGAATTTGTTACAGTATTGCTTATATTTTGTGTTTTGGTTTTTGGATCGAGAGGCATATCGGATCTTAGTTCCCCAACCAGGGATTGAACTCATGGCCTCTCCAGTGGAAGCATGGAGCCATAAAGGCTGGGCCGCCAGAGAAGTCCCAGAAAACAACATTTTAAATATCAGAAGTTAAATATAGTGTGAAGGTTGATAAATTCATGAACATGAAATGTATTACAAATAGAAGCTCTGATCATAAAATAAGAATGCTGTTTTTCCCAGACCACACTTACAAATTAGTCTCATTACTTTATCTTTATTATCACTAAGACCATAATCCACTGAGCAGTTTCCTCCCAAATTCCCAAGGCATCTTTTTTAGGACTGTCACCAGCAGTGGCACAGACATAGGAGAACACATGGCAGTCTGGAGTGTGTGTGTGTATGTGTGAACACGTATCCCAGTGTGTGTTCTGTAGATGGTTTAGTTCATGTGCCGTTTCTTCTTATCTGTATTTTCTTGGTTCCATGGTAATACTGAATTAAGTGTCGGCTGTCATGGTTAGATTTTTAAAGGCTATTTTCATGCTTAACAAAAGCCTCCTGAACAGTGTCTGTGTTGGTGCACATGATGGCTGGTGCACTGGTGTGCCAGGCGCCCAGCTGAGCACTTGATGAATAGCTACCCCAGGGAACAGTGCTTGTCAGTCACCTAGGAAACTTCATCCAGTCTTGATTGCTTCTCTGATGGTCACAGAGGTGACTCTCAGTGGATCCTATGTTGGAATATTTGAACTGTCACTAGAGATTTCTAAACTCACAAGCTGCTGAGAAATATCTAGAAAGGCACCTGATAGGAGGCAGCTCCACTGTGGTTCTTAGCTCTCTAGCTGTAAAAGGATGGCTTTTCCACAGCTGTTCTCGAGTAAATGTCTACCTCGTACTGAGAAATGTGCTCATCTGCGAGCCTGTCATCTTAAGTGCTTTCCTCTTCTTGCAGGGTAACGCCGTCCTCTGAAAACCCCAGTGGTGCTACTTCTAGTATCAGCCAAGGAAAGCCTTCTTTAAGACGAATTAAAGGGAGACTGCACAGAAGCAAGAGCCTCGATAGCATCGATTTCTGTGAACTCACTGTGAGTGGATGGTTTAAGACTTTTCTTCCTTTTCAAAGCATATTAAAAAATTGATTTTTAAAAATTATCATTAGAAGGCAATGGGATTATTTTGTATTAAGCATTTTTCAGTAAAAACTGGTTTACACAACAGGTTACCAACTGGCATAACTTTCTTAACCAGTACCCATAGATATGTTTGTGATAAGTGGTTCATAATGATGATTCTGGTTCACAGACCAAGATAAAGATGTGTTTCCTGAACTCTACAATAAAAACTGAGTTAAGGTCAGTGTATGAAGTAAATTTCTTGGAAAATCACAAATCCACATGTTAATGTAGGTACCGATCTAAGTATTTGATGAACCCCAAACACCCAACTTCCTGGTAGTTCTGGAAAATAGAGGTGCCCTCATATATTAGGACAGATCCTGGTTCAGTTAGCGATGGTGTTTTCTTTTTGTACTTGATGGTTAACATTAGTGGTCTTTTTTCACCAGGCCAGGTAACAGTTTTTCACAAGGGCCTATGGTAAATTCGTGATGTTTTTAGAGATCACCGGTGTTCAGGCCCCATTTTCCTTTCCTGTTAATTGTGTTGTCCTGGTCTAGAAGAGCTGCTTAATGCCATAAAGGAAACACTAGGGTTTTCTCTGTGAGAAAACCAGCTGTGAGATTTTTTTCATATGTATGTGCTGTAGGATTCATTGGCAAATTAATGGATGTTTGGGATGCTTAGACAAGATATGTTAATTTCTCCCCTTTTTGAGCTCTGACAAATTCAGAATTATGAAAATACCACTGACCATTATTGTTTCAAAAGGCAGTTAGAAAGTATAGAAGTAAAGCCTGTCTTTTTTGAGGACACAACTGCAGCATCTTTTACCTATAATTGATGAAAACAAAATTTTATTTAGTTTTATTATTTATATTATTTATTATTTATTTAGTAATAGTGGATATTTTGGGTTTTTTTCCTTCATTCTCCAACATGTTCATTAAAATAATTTTACCCAACTATTTTACTTAAAAGTACACTTGACCATGTCAGACTTAAGAAGGTGAAATGTGACCTATCAGGAGATGTTCAAACAATAACTGAAAAAGGTAAAAAGATGGTAAATTCTTACTGAATAGACCTATGAGAGTGATAGAAGAAAATAGAAGTCTGCCTAAAATAAAGCAAACTGAGAAATAAATTTTAATTGTTTGTTAATTCAAATTTGAGAATAATATACAAATGAGAGTTGAAATTCCATCACATTATTTTGTATGATGTTAAATGTTATCATTATTATCATTACTGAGGCATAATCAGCTAATTGATTAATTTGGCATGTCATAAAGTATGCTTACTTGCTTAAACAATTTTTTGTGGTTGGGGAAGATGTTAAAATTTTTCTGGAATGTGACAGGAGAAAAGCTTAACTTCTTATAAGGTTACCTTCAGTTTCTCAGATAATAGATTATTTCATCTATGAGGAAAAGTTGGTGAATAGAGTTATCTTTTTATTGTCATGATCATGTTTACAAATTATTGATGGTAGGTTTCCTGTCTCATTTTATGTATGAAAGAGCTGATTTGGCTGAAGTTAGTTTACAGTCCAAGCATGGGAAAAATAGCACTGGCCAGGTGCAAACTTAGTTTATTTCTTTGTGATGATCTTTCCTATTTGACTTTATCTCAGAAGTGAAACATTTTAGTGTCTCTCTGGGGAAAGATTCTGACATTGAGGTTCAAGGAGAGTTACAGCTGAGTTCAGGAAAGTGGATTCTGGGGAGGAGCCGTGGTGCTGATATGGGATGTGAGTACACACTGCACACACTGTGCTGTCTCTGATTTTGGTGTTCTACTTTCTGCAGAGTGCATTGAAAGGCCACGTTCTGACAGTTCATCTACTTGTCAGTGATGGGAATGTATTAATGAAATGTAATTACCACAATCAGTTTGCATTTTTTGCAATTCGATTTTATTTTCTGTCTCAGGTTTTTGCAGTTACGGTTGGAGGGGCAGCAATTTCATATTTTGTTGTATAACATTTTTATATTGTCAGAAATTTTTATAATGAACATGTAACATTTTTAGCAAAGCAATGAACTGATGATTTTCTGAACAATAAAATAATAGAAAGAACAGTCTCCCAGCTTGGCTATTCCCACTTTTCTACCACAAGCTGCAGTCAGATGATACTGTAGTATCCAGAAGACATAAGGACATGGAGTATCTTTGGTCTGGGGCTGAAAAAGGACTTCCCCCCCCCCCACTTTCAAATTTCATCTTTTTTTTTTTTTTAAGGAGTGTTACACTTTTAAAAAACATAGTTTAGAAAAGGATTTCATGGGAAGCAAAAGGCATTTAGATTTGATTCTTTAATGCAATTGGCTCTACCATATAATTATGGAGAACCAGATTTTAAAACCTTTGCCACAAAGTCTAATGGGCAGATGCTCCTTGGGAAAGGGTCCATAATGACTTCCAATGGGACAGGAACAAACACCCTCACTTTCGTCAGCATATAGCTCAGCCATTGCAGGACTTTCTTTAGAGATGTTCTTCTAGTTCAAGCAGACTGGAAAATTTGTCATACTGTATGCTAATTTTTAAATTGTCAAAATTCTTCTTAACTCTGTGGCTTCCTTTGTCTGCCACAGTAAACAGAGAGCCTTAAAATTGAAAGACTAAAACTTAGTTCATGATCATGAACTAAAACTTCGTTCATGTGGATGTATGTCACATTTGTGTGACCAGCAGAGTAACATGTATTTTTACACTTTGCTTTTAACTTTGCCTGAGAAAAAATGCAGTCTTTATTGATTTTGGAAGAACTTGGCAAGTGGAGCAGCAAGTCCACTTGCCATGGTGTCAAGGTCCTGATTTCTGGCTGAGAGGCCTCAAGTTCCAGCTGAGACCATTGGCTTTGGTCCTGGCATCAGAGCGATGCCGTTTCACCCCTGGGGAGAGGTGATTGTTTTAGCTTTCTCTGTGGGGATTTAATGAGATGGTCTTTCCAGGTCATTTGGTAAACCCTGCAGCATCATTGATTGACATCCCATTTTCTTGAGGGGGCTGGAATCCATCCAATCTGCCGAGGTCCTCAGACAGCTCCCAGGGATGTTGGTATGGTTTTCTCAAGCGAGGCCTGGAATGGACGAGTCTGTTATGAAGATGTGTTACACCTAGAAAACCTGAGCCATTCTTCAACACTTTCATGTATAAAATGCTATATAAATGACATGACAAGTTCCTTTTCTCCCTTGGGGTGATGGAGTGATGTATTGATAATCCATATGAAGAAGAAAAGTCTGGCGATCTAGCTAATGGTGTTTCTGCTCTTAGCTCTTCCATGTCACTCTAGTGTCCTTGCCATCAACTTTAGAGCCATTGGGTTGCATTTTCACTTCTGTACCTTCCTCCCTCTCAGATCCTGAAGTGTATTGTCAAAGAATCTTAAGTGATACTTTAAAAATTCAACAGATTGCTTGGAATTTGATGGCTTTTCTTAATTATTCCTCCCCCCTAAAATAGGAGCCAGCTGGGTGGGATTCCTTCCATTTGGGAAGCTGTTCTGAAGGTGAACTTAAGGAATTTATTTCCTTCTTTGTGGGTATAAACCTTGATTGCTAGTTTCTCTTTCTTCCAACAGAGAAATACTACAAAAACTCTGCACAATAAATGGAAACAATGAACTAATTAATAACTTATGTCTCTGTTCACTTAGCCTTGAGTGAAAGAAGGATTCAGTTATCACTGAGAACCCTTAGGCAAAATGATACATGTTTCAAACCCTTCCAGGAGTATTTGTCCTGAAGCAGGAAAATATGTGAAGATATTATTTGGAGTGTTACATTTTGGGGCCAATAAGTCACATTTCACTGCTGCATGAATAATAGTTCTCTGGTTTTGTAATGATCAGCAATTTTCACATTTGAAAAGAAACATTTTCTCCTGGTAAAGGGGCATCTCTATAGGCTGTTGGAGGATCTATGTACCCCTGTGGGAAATTCAGTGATGAAATTTTCTCCTTCTTCCCCATGACCTCCTTCTGTGAGATGTGCAGGATGCTGAGGCCTGATTTAAAACTAAGTGTCCCTTTGACCTTGACCGTGTGTCAGGTTTGCTTTACTGGTTCCTGACAGACGAGTGACAAGCTGGCAGTTAAGGTGCAGAGTCTGTGGAGGGAGAAGAGGCGGGGGACACTGAACACCAGCTAACCCTGCTTCCTGGTTTGGTGGGAGGAGCCCGCTGCTCCCTGTTCCCTGCTGACCCCCACAGCTGCCTCATCCGAGGAGAGTTTAGAAGAAACAGCAGTGAGCCTCATGGGTCCTCTCCGCTCCTCTCACCCTGAGCTCTAATGACGTGGCATCTTTCTCTTCTCTTTGGGTATCTCTGTGCAGTTGGGGGTGCTGGCCCCAGGCCATCTGCACGTCTCCTGACTGCATTCTCACCTCTCAGTGCATAGTCTGCTTCCCATTGATGAGGTGCTTCAGTTTCTCAAAGGCAGTGAGTGTGTCTTTTGTATTTCCCAGATGCTGAGCATGACAGGTCTCTGCTCATTCAGTGTTTGTTGGTTGATCGTGTTGGTTAACTCTTTGCTTCAATAGCTATGATAGCTGAGTAGAGGAAAGCTGAGAGACCACTAAATGTTAAAGTGGTGAGGCTGAGGAGCAAAAGGATATGGAAAATAATGTCCCTTATTTGACATACAGGAAAAGGAAGCAGCTTCATATATTGGCTCCTGTTGAGGTCCTTTAATGGACCAGAACCTGGTGGTCTGGAGTCGACAATAAGAAAGTGGAAGAGAGAGAAAGTGGCTGATATTCCCTGGTTTACACAGAAAACCAGTAAAGCCCTTGACACAGGGCTTGCACTGCTTCCCGTAAGCACAGGGTGCCCTCTCGAGGGGGTCTTGAAAGCCTGGGCAAGAAAGTGAGCTCAGCGGGCTTCTGTGCTCCAAAGAATTAGCCTGAGAGAGAGTGAGAGAGAGAGAAAGAAAGAAAGACATGGGGACCCAAGTTCTGATG